ATCCCAACCCAACAAGCTGGGATCGTATCCGACATCGTCCGAATTCAGACGAAAACGTATGAACGGTACGGGCCAAGTGGACGCGCTCCTCTCCTAGCCACGTGTTTGAATCTTTCGTTCATTTTAGACCGAATTCGAACAAAGTGATTTCGCAACTTTCCGGAACCAGAGGACGAGAAGCCTTACTTGGGGAATAGGAAACAACCGTTTAGAGCAAATGGCACTGACTCTAGTCACAAAAGCATTGTATGTGGAGTACCACAAGGTTCAAAATTGGGTCCTCTACTTTTCGTTATTTACGTGGTAGGAGCATGTAAAGTTTCTCATGACACCCTATATCGCTTTCACTTGTACTTTCTGTTTCCGGCTTTATTAGCGTGTTTCCATTCATGTTTTTTATAAATAATTAATTTGGTTTGTTCTCTATACAACATTATTTTCAAAATAAAAGAACATGATCGAATATCGATATCCATTAATCCAATATCAGGATCAGGATAATTTGAACAAGAAGCTACAGTTAAAACTAACCTTAGCTGCAAGTCAAATATTTAATAAAATAAGATAACGTACATTAAAGGTTTAAATTACGTTTACTCAATGTTTTACGTCGCCCACGGTCGATGATACTAACTGAAATGTTGGCCTCCTAATTATATACTTGAAGGAGGTACTAGTGTGTACTAAATGGAAGATAAATAAATACATGGATCTATTGCATATGCGAAGCAAACGGACACAACAAATGTTACCATTTTCCTTACTCAAAATCATGTTTCAAGGTTCCTGACAGGGGACTTGAACACACTAGAACGAACAACAATAGTCCAGTCAGAAATGCAGTCAACTCGAAATGAAATATAATAAGATACAAACCGTATGAAACTTGGTTTGGCTTTTTATAAATTGGCTTAGCAACTATAATATTACCTAATACTAAATATGAAACGATTTTTATGCTCACAACTTTTGTAATAATGCTAAATGCCATTTAAAATAACGGAAACATGAGTTACAAAAAAATAAAACGATTTTTAGTTGTCTTTGCTCTGTGATACTTTTTACTAATACTCCAGGCGCTATTTGTTTAGAATAACGATTTTTTGGGTATGAAGCATATAATCGCAGTGTTTTGCATAAATCGCACCAAAATATCACTACAAATGATAATTTATTTTACTGTGCGTTAGTTGTAAAGTGTAGGATTAACTTTTTATTCAACAAAATATGAAAAAAACTTTTTTTTTAAATTCGATATTTTTTATCATTTTTTCGCATATATATTAAGAACTATTCCAGAATAATTTTTTATAAGACATAAATGTTTTGTAATTTAATTTTATATAAGCGTGCTAGATTACATAAGGTACTTTAAACAATCAAAAATTATTACAGTAAAACTAGCTTTATTTATCGCATATATTTATTCATTATAAGGATGGTTTGTACACAGAATCATTCAGTCAACTTGTAGTGGTCTGAAGCTAATGTAAATTTGTATAAGTGCTTTGTATAGTAGGTAAAGGTTTTAATTTAAAATACAGATCTTATACAGAACTTTATACTTTTATTGTAAATCTCAGTCAACTTTGACCAATCATAACTCCGGAACTAATGAACAGATCATCTTGTTTTTTTTTCTTTTAAGCGTCTTTTGGTGCACTAACTTTTTACCTGCATAATTTTAATAATTGAAGAGGTCCCTCTAAAAACATTGTAACTGACAATTTTTCATAAAGTGATGTTTTAATGTAAAATGGTTACTTATGCAGTTTAATATACAGTGGTGCTATCCTTTAGTCGCTAGTTGAATTAAAATTATAATTTTTAGTACTGAAATTTGAGGTCAGTCTAAAAAGGTTACATATGTAAGAAACATGGCAGAAACAACGTCTATTTCTCCAATGTGTAGTGTTTTAAAAAAGGCAAATAAGTGCAAAAAACGAAAAATACACTATGACCAATGGCAGCAGGTAAAGAATAAAAGGTTAAAGGATAGTGGAAAAAGTTATATGGGCCACAAAAATATTGTAAAAGCCGAAAAGCAGTGTCCAAATGAGGTGAGTCTAAAAACGTTACATGTGTATACTCTAACCTTAAATGTTTTTCCTGCGTTTTTGTTGTGTATTACAGCACGTCTATTTTAGGATTCAACTTGTTCGTTAACTTGCAACTATGATGGTTGTTCCGTGCTTAACCAGAATTTGGAAGTAAAAGTTGATATATTTAATCGTTTTTACCAGTATTCTTATAATGAGCAGCAGCGATTCCTTGCAGAGTGTATGGAGTTAAGAGAACCCAAACGAAGGATTGTGCCTGAAGATATATCCAAACGCCAATGTACTATCAAGTATTCACTTCCAGTAAATATTATTGCTTCACAACGGCAGCAGGTATGCCAAAAACAAATTATATCTGTTTTGAATTTAACTCGTCGGAGATTACAGCTTCTTGCAAGTAAAGTTAAGCAAGGTCTCAGCATCGACGATGGTCATGGTAAACATAACAATAGACCACGAAGTATTCCTGACGCAGATCAAGAGCTTGTCATTACGCATATTTCTTCTTTTCCTTGCCAAGAAAACCATTATTCGAGAAACTCAAATAAAAAGAAATGTCTTGCTCCAGACCTATCCATAACTAGAATGTACCAATTATTTAGAAATAAGTATCCTACCACAAGGGTGAAATTACACTTGTATAGGTCAATTTTTCACGACAAATTTAACTTAAGATTTGGTGTTCCCAGATCTGATACATGTAAAGTTTGTGACAAATTTTATATACAAATGGTTGCAAGCCAGAATAATGAAGAGTTAAAGCAGCTACAATTTCAGTCAGAACTGCACCACAGAAAAGGAGAAAAGGCTTATAAAACGTTGGTAGAAGATACACAGGCAGCTATTGAAAATGAAAATTTGGTTGTTCTCTGCGTTGATTTGCAACAGGTCCTTTTTCCTCCTAATCTAAGCCATTCAGATGTCTATTACTTGAGACAATATTCTAATTATAACTTTTGTATTCATAATATGGGGAAGAATAGAGCAACAATGTGTGTTTGGCATGAAAGTGTAGGAAAACGGGGATCAGGGGAAATTTCCTCCGCACTATTTCGCTACATTCCAAATAATTTTGAAATCCTGGGTCTACATCAGGAGAGAAAACTTATAGTATGGTCTGATAGGTGTGTAGGACAGAACAATAATTGGCGGATGGCAGCTTTGTATCATTACCTAGTTTCATTGCGTTATTTCACAGAGGTCAATCAGAAATTTCTAGTCACAGGACACAGTTTTCTTCCATGTGACCGCGATTTCGCCATTATTGAAAAGTTTAAGAAAACGGCAACCCTTCATGATCCTCAAGATGTTGTAAATATGATTAGGAATATAAGAGAATCGAATCCATTTGATATTTTGGAAATGGAAGGACAATTTTTGGATATGTCGTCGATTGAACTGCAGATCTATAAACATCCCGATATCAAAATTACTGAAGCAAGATGGATCCAGTTTACTTACGACGAACCAACTGCCATTCGTATAAGAACATGCCACAATCCAATGCAGAACTGGATGGTTTATAATATAATAAAGAAACCCAAAGGAAAGAGATCCCAAACTGCCTCATTACCTGTGTACAACATAGTTGACCCTATCGATCTGCCAATCCTTTATCTAATAAACTACCTAATAATGCCTCAAAAATGGCTGATCTTTTAAAGCTTATAGATTACTTACCTCCATATAAAAGAACTTTTTATCAATCGTTAGATAGTGCAGATCCAAATGTTATGTAGGATAAACACTTAAAAATTGAAAATAAAATAAAATCATACATTTTTTGTATTGTTTATATTAATAAACTATTTGTTTAATATTACATTTTACCGTGCATTTATTTTTCCTGTAATACTCCTTTAATCTAAACTGCGTTTTGTTGTAAAACGTTTCAAGTACATAATTAATATTAGTTAGATTGAATGTAAAAACGTTACATATGGGCATGTGTAACGTTTTTAGATTGAAAAAATTTAATTCTGTCTAATAGGATTAAAGTACATTTTAAAAATAAAAAAAAATTATAGCAATCTTTAACAATAATGTGTAAGCATCATATAAACATATTTTTATTGTAACAGGGAAAGTTTCTATTGTTTTCTTCACTTCCTCTAAAAAAGTGATTTTGCTGTTTGCAACCTTTTTAGAGGGAGGTATTCAATTATTCATTGAAAAAAATTTAGATTGTAAAATTCTTAAGATTTGAGACTAGCATTGTTACATGTAGAATATAATTACAAATATTTTATGTCCGATACACAATTATTGTAAAACTTATACTTCTTGAGATATTATGCGAAAAAGGGAGGAAAAATATGGAATTGTTTAAATTTTTGTCATATTTTGTTTAATTAAAAGTTAAACCCTCATTTTACGACCCACATATAGTGGAATTATCCTTTGTAGTGATATTTTGAAACGATTTATGCAAAATACTGCCATTATATGCTTCCTACCTAACTGGACATATATCGCCTGGAATATAAAGATTCTCTGAAATTTAAAGCCAAGGTTTAACATGCCAAAATAATCATTTATACGATTTTATAACTAATTATCTTCCATTACGAGATTTACGTCTTTGTTTTCTTATACGACTGCATTATAAATTATCTTACGAGCAAAAAGATAAAAAATGTGTCCATTGCTATAATGATTCTATAAAACTCTACCAAATTTGGTGCTCCAATACAACAGGGGTTGTGCCAAATATTGTTAGATAATTCAATGTTATTTACCTAAAGTATGAAACACTTGTTAATTTTCCTCCATTAAGTATAAATTGTAGTAAATATAAATAGGTATTAGTCTTTTATTCAAAACAACACATAAAGAATTCAATCAGTGCGTTACAAGGTATTAGTACTAATTTAAGCAAATTGCGATGGTGTGGGAGTATTCTGTGGGAGTGTTGATGTTATGGAAATTGAATACACTTACCTCCATGATCACTCGCACCGCTTTGTCTACCAGCTGCTTGTTCAATGATGTCGTTCAAAACCATCACGTCTGAAAACATTTATAGATAAAAAATACTCTTACATTACAAGAGATGGTTAAATATGTAAAAATAACAAACGTATAGAAAAGGTGAGAACAATAATAAGAAGTACAACGAAGCTTACTATAAAAAAACACCAGTAGGTGGACATTACACGGATCAGTAAATGTGAGTAGAGCTTGTGAATTTTCTAAACGGTTATGACCATAAAATATCTGCGCATCGTATCGTTCAAAATTATTAAAATTTGTAGGGGAGAGTGGGCCACCTTGAGTGCGTGCACCATGAAACTGTCATGTTGTTAAGGTACATGTACGCGTCCCGAGAGTTTTTTACACGTGTTGTTTGTTTTCGAAAAAGGTAAGTTTTTTATACTTAATATTTAAAGGAGTTATAGAAGAAGTGTGCCAAATATGGAATATGTCCCAATTATGGAATATCATAAGGTTGAACAAACCAAAATTGGCAACACTGAAACGATATCACCAGCGTGTAGCCAGTGCTTCTCGTGCCTGTAAACTCTTCTTCTTCTTCACGTGCCATCTCCGCTACGAAGGTTGGCTATCATCATGGCAATTTTGACCCTGGAGGCTGCCGCTCGGAACAATTGTATGGAAGTGCAAGCAAACCACTCCCTGAGGTTTCTCAACCACGACATTCTTCTCCTACCTATGCTGCGCCTACCTTCCATCTTTCCTTGCATAATTAGTTGTAACAGTTGATATTTATTCCCACGTGTAATATGTCCCAGGTATTGTAGTTTCCTCATTTTAACACTCAATACGACCTCCTTTTGTTTGTTCATCCTGTCTAATACAACTTGGTTAGTTATCTTATCCTTCCAGGAGATTTTTAACATTCTTCGGTACGCCCACATCTCAAATGCCTCCAGCTTACCCATACATTGCTTATTTAGTGTCCACGCCTCCACCCCATACAACAGGACCGAGAAAACATAACATTTAAGCATTCGTATTTTCAGCTTTAGGCTTAGGTTACGGCTACACAACATTTGTTTCATATTGTTAAAGGCACTGCGGGCTTTCTCTATTCTTATTCTTATTTCTCTGGTGTATTCGTTTGACTCGTTAATATTTGTTCCGAGGTAATTGTAATTTTGTACTCGTTCAATGAGATTCTGTCCTACATGTAAGTTGATATTATTGATACGTTTCTTTGTAATTATCATGAATTTGGTCTTCTTTGTATTCAGTGACAGACCAAATTCTTCACTTGCTTCTACCACTTTGTTTAGTAATCTCTGTAGGTCTTCAATATTTTCTGCTATGAGCGCGGTATCATCAGCATATCGGATATTGCAAATGGGGTGACCGTTGATCTTTATTCCGGCTTTTTCGTTCATAAGAGCTTTTTTAATAACTTCTTCCGCGTAGACATTGAACAAGGTTGGAGACAACACACAGCCCTGCCGAACACCTCTTTTGATCTGTATTCTATCTGATATCGAGCTGTTAATTCGTACTGTAGCTTCTTGTTTGTAGTATAGATTCCTTATCACTCGCATGTCCCTTGTATCAATATTTTTATTTTCCAGTATTTGCATCAGTGGCCTATGTTTTACTGTATCAAATGCTTTGTTATAGTCTAGGAAACACACAAATATGTCCTGATTTACGTCTAAGCATCGTTGTGTTAGAACATTAAAAGCAAACAGTGCCTCTCTAGTTCCTAGTCCGTCTCTAAAGCCAAATTGAGAGGGTCCGATGTCAACTTCCAATTTTTTATATATTCTCCGATGAATGATTTTTAAGAAGACCTTTAATATATGACACATGAGACTGATGGTGCGATGTTCCGAGCATTGTCTCGCATTAGACTTTTTGGGTATGGCTATTATTGTTGTTACTAGCCATTCATTAGGTATGATACCAGATTTGTAAATGCTGTTAAATAGTTCCACGATCTTTATTAAGTTGTTGCCTTTGATGAGTTTAATTATGTCTATTGGTAGTTCATCTGGGCCTGTAGCCTTCCCCGACCTCATTTCTTTAATCGTATATTCCACTTCATCTCTTGTTATTTCTGGTCCTGTGTCACTGTTTATGTATTCGTTATCTACATTGTCTCTTTGATCTTTAAACAGTTGTTCTATATACTGTTTCCAGACTCTTAATTTTTCTTCTGTGTCCATAATAATGTTTCCACTCTCGTCTACTAATATGTTGTGTCTGTTACTTTGTCTCCTCGTCAACTCTTTGATCTTCCGATGTGCATTAAAGCTGTCGTGTTTATTTTGTAGTTGTTCGATTTCTTCGCATTTTTCCCCGTACCAGTTTTCTTTAGCTGTGCGTATTTTTAGACGAATTTCTTTTTGTATCTCTTTATACTTCTGGTTCTTTTTGTTTTTCTGTTTTCTTCTTTCGTCCATTAAGTTCAGTATCTCATCTGTCATCCATTCTTTTTTATATTCTTTACTTTTATGGAGGTGACTTATGCTTGGTTTCATTAACGCTGTTTTAATGTCTGTCCAATTCTCATTGATGTTAACTTTTGTGTTGTCTTTTATGGGTTGTATCTTTGTTACTGCTTCATCAATTTCTTGTATCATCTGTTCTCTTACTTCTGGTTTTCGTAATTTGTTGATATCAACTGCTTTTTTGGGGGTTGTGCTATTAATTTTCTTTAGTTTTATTTTCATTCTTGCAACTAGTGGATTGTGATTAGACGATATATCTGCACCAGGGTATGTTTTAATTGACATTATGCTGTTTCTGTATCTTTCATTGATTAGTAGATAGTCTATTTGGTTTCTCACTATGTGATGTTCTGTGTCTTGTGGAGATCTCCATGTGTATAAACGTCTTTTGGGTAGTTCGAAAAAGGTATTTGTAATTACCATTCTGTTTTCCTGGCAAAATTGTACCAGTCTTTCACCAGACTCGTTCCTATTCCCTAATCCAAAATTTCCTAACAAATCATCTGTCCTTCCTTTCCCAACTTTAGCATTTAGCCTGTAAACAGTCATCGTTAAAGGATTCCCCAAACCGACGCGAAACTTTCGCAGCCGCAACCTCCGCGGTTTCTCCGCTGCAGTTATAGATTCGCGTGAATTAAAATGGCTGTTACAGAAAAACTAATTGAAATTGTGAAACAATATCCTATACTTTATGATTTAAGGACGAAGATTATAAACATATAAGAAAAACGTTTTATTAGAGTTTCAAAAAAATTGGAGTTTCAACAAGAACAAGACGCAGCTGGCTTTTGCACTTCCAATTCAAATACTAGATGTTCTTCTCGGAGCAACACACAGTTAACACCAATCCTTTCCCCTATATGTGTCGATACTAACAATACTGAACGTGTCCCGTACCAAGTTATTGCTTCTGGAGTTACCTGTTTTTTTCAGTTTCGGCAAGTGATAATAATAGAAGAGCTTCTTCTTCATCAGACAAAGTCATTATGTATTTGTAAGCTACGAATAAACGACTAAAAATATAATTTGTTCGCATTTGTATGACGAACAGTCGCGTTGGGTTTCGCGCCAATGTGGGGAAGCCTTGTTCGCTACCGCTCCGACTGCGAATGTTCCGCAATGGAAAATTCGCGTCTCAAAAGTTTCGCGTTGGTGTGGGGAATCCTTAAACCGTTGAAAGTAACAGATGTAATTTCGTAGTTATATTTGTTTTTACGCCGGCTCTAAAATTATTTAAGGTAAGTATTCTACATTTTGATACACATACTTAAAATAAGTATAGAACTATCCGATTAAGTCTTGGATGTTTAGAAGGCATAAGTTTAATTTTCCGATATTGAAATTTAACATTAACCTGTTGCAAATACTTTAATTTGGCCAACGAAAAAAAAAAGATGACCATGCACCTTATATGGAATACTATGCTGTGCCTATGATGGAATATTTCATATTAGGTACACTTAATTTTTGAAGATTTTAAGAAGTAAATCTACATAGGAGTTCTGTTAATAAATCCTGTCTAAATTCATTGGTAATTTTTTTGGGTAATACCATAGTCGTAAAAAATGGAAAAAAGAAGATATGAAGACAAAAAAGGAAAGTGCCGGAAGAAAATGGTTGAATTTATTCCTAAAACGACATAAGGATAGAATTTCTATCAAAAAAACAACTGGAACGTCTATCCATAGAGCCAAAGGAAGGAGACTTTTAATAAATTGGAGGTAGAGGCAAAGAAAACTGGTTTAAGGGTAAACGAAGAGAAATACATGTGCATCAATAGACAAAAGAGACGAGATAGAATAGAGCAAAATGTTACAATAGACCCATATAACTTTGAAAGAGTGGAGAGTTTTATATATCTCGGAGTACCAATCACTGCAGACAACAATATCGCGAAAGAAATTAAAGGAAGAACTCAGGCAGCAAACAGATGTATGTATAGCCTTCACAATACTATTAAATCTAAAATCTCAACACGAACATTAAAGATTAGAATATATAAAACAGTAATTAGATCGGGGCTCATGTATGAGTGTGAGACATGGACCCTGACCAAAGAAACTGAAAGAAAACTTCGATGTTTTGAGAGGAAACTCCTCAGAAGAATCTTTGGGCCTTACCACGATATTAAAAGCAAACCAATACCGAATGAGAACAAATGCTGAGGTCAAGCAGATGTATAGAACGAGTAACATAGTCCAAAAGATTCAATCCCAACGTCTAAGATGGGCTGGTCATGTCCATAGACTCCCTAATAACCGCCTTTTCAAGTTAATATGGGAGAAAGCCCTTACAGGAAGAAGGCCCTTAGGACGTCCACGAATGCGATGGAGAGACAATATATGGTCAGATCTAAAAGCAATGGGGCTACCCACTGATCCAACTATTATGGACGACCGTTCAAGATGGAAGCAAGTTATGCAATCAGCCAAGACCCACCCTGGGTTGTAGTGCTACGAGAAGAAGAAGAATAATGACAGTGCTATGGACTCATGGACGACGAGAACTCCTGCAAAGCCAATAACAATTCTTCAAATTGCGGAATGTGTGGGATATGCGTTTGATTAATCTATGACTCTCAGTAACATAAACGCAGGTTTTAAAAATGCAAAATAGTGCCTTTAAATCAATATGTCTTTAATGAGATGACTTTTGACAAGTAACGTAACCGATAGGAATGAAATATCAGAGAAGGGTGATACAAATCGTAAAGAATGTGAGCTAAGCTGCAGCAAAAATTTAACAATAAAGAGCCTGGTTTTGCCACAATGCAACCCGAAAAAATCTAAAAATGAGAAGTAAAGACCCAAGCAAAATTGTAAATGATACGTTCGAGAAGTTAGAAATCGAGCAAAAACATCATGAGAAAAAAAAGAAAGGACGCAATTATTGTCTCCAAAAACTCCAAGAGAAAATAAATACAGAGTACTTCAGATGTTGCACTATCCAGTGACACTGAAATTGATTCATTTGTGTCTGATTCCGCAGATGTCGAACCATTCACAGATTTTGAGTTTGGTCGTTATCACAATTTACCTAAGATCAGTGGCGCACCTAGAATTTTCTGGTGAGGGAGGGCTTTAAAGCCACATTTTTGCATCATAGTGCTAAACGTAAAAACACATTTTTATTTCCCGCTATTGAGGACATTTCGCATGTTAATAAAATTGATGTTATATGTGTGCTGCCACCAATTCCTAATTGCGGAAGTAGAAAACGTCAGAAGTACTTTATTTGATTTAGCGTCAAGTACGACAATATATACATTTATTGAGAATTTTGATTGATAAAGTTTATGTATATACGTCATTTGATATTTTGAAATATATGATACCAAATCAAGAAGCTGCTACCGTTGCAGAGGTACTTGTTAAAGAATTCTTCAGTAGATTTGGTGTTCCTTTGGATATCCACTCCGACCAAGGGCGAAACTTCGAGTCAACCCTTTTCCAAAACGTTTGTAAATTTATTGATGTCAATAAGACCAGAACGACACCCCTGCATCCTCAATCAGATGGAATGGTCAAAAGAATGAACCGAACGATGGGTAAACACCTGTCCAAAGTTGTATCAGAACATCAAAGAGATTGGGACCAGCACATTCATTTATTCCTAATGGCCTACCCCTCGGCCGCAAATGAAACTACAGGCCAGACTCCAACCTACGTGATGTTAGGTCGTGAAGTTCGTTTGCCCTGCGACCTAGAGTTTGGCAAAAGACCTTCCGAAGAACATGTTGCAAGATGTCGACCGCCTAAAGTTAAGAATGAACAACATTCATGAACTTGCCCGACAACACATCCAGTTAGCCAGTGACAGAATGAAAGATCAATACGGTTCTCGATGCAAGAATGAAAGCTATGAAGTAGATGATCTTGTTTGGCTTTATAATCCACAACGTCGTCGTGGCTTGTCTTCTAAACTGCAAAGACAATGGGAGGGTCTGTATGAAATTAAAAAGAGAATAAATGACGTAATATAACCAATTAATAAGTTGCCGAAAGGTAAACCAAAAGTAGTTCACATAGATCGTCTTGCACCTTATGCTGGCTCAAATGAAACCGAAGAAGTCCGAACCCTTCAACATGAGATCAAAGATGATCGGCGACCAAGCTTTAATGAGTTTATGTCAAATTACGCAGAGAGAAAGAGTGCTAGATTCGGCGTGACGACAGAAGTTCAGCAGGATCTATTTAGTGTTCCGCATAACGTCATTCTAGCCCACTGTGTTGCCCAAGATCTTGAGATGACTAAAGGGAATTCATCCGTATTTTATAAAAAATTCGGTCGCTTGGACGAGTTAAAAAACCAGCAGCCTAACGTTGGAAGGGTACTGAGATTAGAAGATGGTTCTCGATCTTTGCTGTATATAGCGACCTGGAAGTCGTATACAGACAGGGCAAACTACGAGGATATATGGTCTGCTCTAACTAATTTGAAGAAAATCGTCTGCAATTACGACACTAAGAATTTGGACTTACCCAAGATAGCCCATACACTAGATTATCTGGATTGGAAGCTTGTCAGAAGCATGCTTAAAGTGATCTTCCGAGAAACCGGGGTAAGAATTACTGTGTGTTGCACTAATCCGAAGAGAACGTGTCCTTCAAAGACAGTAGACTGTTATTTCTTCTTGAGGGGGTCATGCAGAGCTGGAGAGGCTTGTAGATTCCGCCATCCTGGGCCTATATATAGAGTTGCTGATCGGAACGCTCAGATCTAAGAGGGGAGCAGTGTTACGAACATGCTTTCGGCATGGCCATGTAACGGTTGCATCTCGAAGCACCGAGAGTTTCCGGCTATATATCGAGCGCTGTAAAATTCCACCCGTCAAATAACGAATTAGAGGTGGGACTACTCCCGAATATTCTCGAACATAATAATTTGTATATATATATATATATATATATATATATATATATATATAAGTAACGATGATTGAGGTAGTTTAGTTGTTAAGATATTACCGAACTGTAAAGTTATAAATACATATATTTATATAAATTCGAACCGCTCGTTTTATTTAAAAACGGTATATAACGAATGTTTTAAAGAATTTTAGTTATTTTGGATTTGTCTTCAGCTGGTCCATAAATTGGGCCAGGTTGAGACAAAAAGTTTTTAAGAATATTTAATAAAAAAAAACTAGTTTGTGATTACAATCGACTGATATTTTTGATTGATTATAAATAGATTAAATAATTGCATTTTAAATTTTAACTAAAAATGATCATAAAGAGCTTATATCATTAAATATATGAAAAATGTCTTACTCATGCGCATGCACGAGTCATAGCCGCCCACAAGATGAATCAAAAATAAGTTTAGATGGGCAGAAATAAATAAAAACCTTTAAAGTTATAACGGTTATCTCGGTTCTGGATGAAATTAAACCGGATCAGCGTCTCTCCAGTACCGTTTACTCTAGAATTTTAAAGTTCTTTGGCCATATCCATCGAAGTGATCACAAAATGGAGCGGTTGGTGGTCCAAGGAAGGCCTCAGACTCAACGCCAACGCGGAAGATCTCCACAGCGATGGGCGGACATTACTAAAAAGCTTCTCAATAAACAGTATACTGAGGCAATACATATAACTGATGACCGCGACCAGTGGAGAAATATTATCAATCAAACTGTCCGAGCTGCTGAAGCCCAATTATGAACCACAACACATCTACTAAGATGTTAATGACTGTGATGATGAAAGTTATAACAAAATGAATGGATAACGTCCCACATTGTTTCTATTCACAAAACTTTGAAGAATTGCAGTTATGAGTATGATTGGTGGGATTTATTTTATAGTTTTAAAACAACAATCTCAAGATGCGATAGAAATGGTAAAAACATAAGTACACGCTTGTTTTAGAGATGAGAATAAATAATCTGATTACACTAAATATGTGTTAAAAAAAACACAAAATAGGCGAATTCAAGGAAACATCTAGTGTTTTCGTAATGCGACTTTGAAAGATATTAAAAACTCTAAGATAAAGGAGAGCATGATTCCACCATGTCTTAGACAGAGACACACTTTTAAATCACAATAAAACGTAAAGAGAATGATAAACAATATATAAAATAATAAACTACAAATTACGACAAAAACTTACCTTTCATATCCACTACGGTTTGTCTTTGGTTATTATCAATAAATGGATTGTCTAAATGCTTTATTTTCCCTTCCATCTGGCTTGTTGGTCCATCCTAACAGAAAAATACAATTAGTAATTGAATCAAGCCTACAAAACCAATGTTTACTTACGTAATCTCCTCTGTGTGCTCTATGATTATACTCAGTATAGTTGTTGGGCGTGGTCGTAGCTGTCGCTGCTGTTGGAGGACCAGTTCTGAGCGATCTGTTCCTGAGTTGGCTTTCTTTTGTCATTACTTTAGCGGTACCACCCAAACCACACAACAGATCTCCATGAGAGGTGTAAGATATTCGTGATGCGTGCGAAGTGTATGATGAATGACGCGAACCTGACCAAAATTGAGAGTTGTACCAAACAAAAAAAAATCAAAAAGTTGCGTAGATGGTTTAACAACTTAGAGAACACATGTGACAACAAAAAATGTGCACATGATCTTTATAATGGTGATACAGATCTGAACGTATTAGTTTTTCACTCGTATAGGAGAGTTGTATGATATTATCGAATAAGATAAAAACTCAATTATTTTGTACACGAGGGTATCCTGTAAATTTTTAGTATGAGGCATTGCGTTGTCATGGTTGACGATCATGCACTGTTCAGTTTGTTTTTCTCACAAAAAAATGTGGTGAATATCAACTGAAGTAAATTTACCCTCGTTATCAGATGACCGCCAAAAATGTGATTTTTCTTAAGGAACTTAAGGATCTACCCCACTTAAATGTTAAAATCTATTTTACGAATTTATTATTTCTCAATATAAGAGTTATTTAGATATACAGAGTGGCTCAAAAGTCTGAAAACGACCAATTATCTTATAAATTGCTGGTCATAATTTTACAGAATTTGAGGTACACTTATTTTGGGAAACGGAGATTCCATATTTGATACTTGCAATGTTGTCAGATTTGTCGTTTCTCTTATATTATTAGTAACTTTGGTTTTTAAATTCATCACCTTGTATATTCAGTCATTATTGGAATCTCCTATTTAATATCAGTTCAACCATATGTAACACTTATGATTTTATGTAGTTTGGAAGGTCTTAAATACATAAAACAGGGTAAAACATGTAGATTTTATTAAATTTAAATATTAAAATGTAGAATGCTGTGAATTGACATGTGTTCACCATTTACATTATTAACTAAAACTGAGAGTAGTTGTGTTTCGAAAAGTTCTGCAAGATAAATTGCTTCTCTAAAATGGTTCTTAACAAAAAAGAATGAATTATTATTCTAATGATGATAGAGATACCGTAAGTAAAAGGTAGATACCGATCAGGTAGACCGAAAAGAGTTATGAACGATACTTCAACAAACCTTTCGATATAATGCAAAGTTTTGTTGAAGATCTACGTACATCCTCACACAGGGTTGCACAAGTACATGATGTAGATCGTATCTCAGTTTTACGTGGATTACGTAAGAATAAATTTAAACCATACAAAATTAACTTATTGCAAGAATTAAGTGAAGATGACTTCGATTGTAGATTAGAGTTTACTGAGGTAATGATGGATAAAATTCAAAATGATGAAAATTTCGTTAACAAAATATGTTTTTCCGATGAAGCAACCTCTGCACTGTGTGAAATTGTAAATCGACACAATTTAAGGTACTGGAATGACGTAAATCGACACTGGATGCATGAAAACCATACTCAAAGACCACAAAAATTAAATGTATGGTCAGGTATAGTAGGTACTCAGTTTGGGTCATTTTTTATTAAAGGAAATTTAACGTCAGATTAAAACTGAAATTGTACCTACACTGTTAAACTTCTTTGGGGCCAATTTTAATCAGATATGGTTTCAGCAAGATGGAGCTCAGCTCATTTTGGTGTAAATATTCGGTGTTATTTAGATGAGATATTTCCCGGATGATGGATTGGTAGACGAGGTAGAATTAAATGGCCTCCACGTTCACCTGATTTTAATCCTAGAGATTATTGTTATTGGGGATACTTGACAAATTCAGTTTACAAAACTAAACCAGCAAGTCTTGCAGAGCTAAGACAACAAATTATAGATGAATCTCGAATAATTTCTAGACAGACATGGAGAAATGTGGTGGACGCATTTTACTATCGATTAGGGTACTGTCAACTCACAAATGGAGCACATTTTGAACACTTAATAAAGTAACCATTATGTTAAAAAAATGTTGAAATCTATAAATTGTTACATTTTAATGTAGTTGAAAATAGTTAGTATTAAAAAATTTATTGAAACAATTAGGCTTTGCCAGACTTCTGTTTTATGTATTTAAGACCTTTCAGACTGTATAAGATCATAAGTGTTACATATGGTTGAACTCGTATTAAATAGGAGATTCCAATAATGACTGAATATACAGGGTGATGAATTTGAAAAACCATAGTTACTAATATAAGAATAACGGCAAATCTGGCAACACTGCAAATATCAGATATGGAATTTCCGTATCCCAAAATAGGTGTACTCCAAATTTTCTACAATTATGCCTAGCAATGTACGAGATAATTGGCCGTTTCCAGACTTTTTCGCCACTCAGTATAAAGTACTTATGTAAAAGTGGTTTCAGTTAAATTGGCTGAAATTTTGCAGAGGGTAAGTCTTGGTTGTGCTGGTCAAAAGTTCTCATTGCTCTAAGACTCTGTCTAGTTTTTAGTGCATTTTTCGAAATCATGAATTTTGAAACGGTGCCGTTCTACACATTCAATACACGGCACCTGAATCTCACTAAACACGAATACAGTATCTAAATGACATTTCTTAATGGTGCCCTGCCAAAAAAATAATTTAAGTATACTGGATAAGATATCTACGTAGATATCCCGGTGTAATATCCTGCTAGGATATTCTACTGTTCCAATTTGACAGTCTCACTAAATAATGTGGATATTTTGGTGAAATATTCCGGTAGGGTAACCCGCTGATCCATGGGAAAAGTCGCATTACGAACGGGGACGGTACTACAGAGATATACCACTTTCCTACATAGACTTCTAGCTAATTTTTTGGGAGAGTACATATGCCCAGAAGCTCCCAAAATAAGGCCAAACTCCACAGAAGTCACAGGGACCTAGGCATGCGGAAATTTTTTTTGTAATTTGTACCAAATTGTATCAGTACAGCGTGCACTTGCACGGGAAGTACTATAGGAACTGATAACTTGCGAAAGCAGTCAGATGATGTAAACATGCTCAGTAGATATCAGTGAAATGTAAACCTACAACTGCACAGAGTGTTCTATAGATGCCAGCACATGCGCTGAGGGTTTCTGACACGTGCGCAGTAAGTATCCATGAATGGTTCTCTGGCGTATACTGTACTGCAGAAACATGTGTACACCCCCGAGTATTCTGCAAGGTATACATTTTACCAGAAAACTGGAATACCTATGCCACGTGATGAGGGGACCAAAATATGAAATTTTGAGACTCATAATACAGGGAAAGATTCAAGGAAAAAGATCTGTTGGCCGAAGGCAGAACTCATGGTTATGTGATTTGTATCAATGCAGATCGATTTATTTGTTTAAAGCAGCAAGTTCAAAAATAAAAATAGCCAGTATGATTGCCAACTTCCGTAGCAAGACGGCACTCTAAGAAGAATGTATATACAGATTGGACGAAATAAATTCGGAACATACGAAATATTATGTATTTCGGCTCAATTCTGCTGTAGGTGGTTGGCCAACAAAAGGTTGTCAAATAATTATATTATCAAAAACCCAATACTTCAGCGGGCTGTTGGATTCTGAACTAATTCAAGAACTCATTCATAGGTGGTCAAACCACCTATCGCTTCCTAAAGCCGGCCACTTACGGTACAGCGGTGTCGTTCGACATAATCGGACAGAGGCGTTGTTCAATTTGTTGGTATATCTGGTACGCCCACACACCATACTGAGCCGCAGTATTTGTTCGGTTCTCGACCATGTTAGATCAAACAATCATTTTAGCATCTCTTACTTTGTTTATAACTAAGCGTAAAAAGAAACCTAAAATAAAACGTAGATTCTGGTGCAAAGAATCCAAGATTTTGGTGCAAAATAAATCTGGTCTGCTCCTGCATCCGATTTACTGGACTGCACTGCTCATTTTAATTCTCTTTTATAGAATGTTCTAAAATTGTTAATTTTTTTTTTCTTACATACTCTTCATTCGCATCTTTGTTTACTTCTTGGAACTTTAAAACTAGAATGTCCATTGCCAGTTTTCGGGCGTTTTTATCGTGATACGTTTTACCTTTTATTCGCTTTAAGCATTCTTGTTTTTTATATAATTTAAAAAACTCTCTTAAAAAATTCTCGCTAAATCAAGCCATTTCGATTTTCTATAATATGATCAAAGCAAGTGTGTAGTTAAAAACGCAGTTGAACAACGCCGCTGTATCGTGAGTGGCCGCCTTTAGGCAAGCCCCTCTTTCGTTTATCGGAGATAAAGATTTTGAGCGGTGTTGCCAATATCATTCCACTAGTTGTTTCTAAAATAACTACAAACTTCTGAAATAACTACAAACCATTAAGTTTATTTTTGTTATTAGTCTGTTGTAGTAGATTGGTAAATACAATGAAAAATATAGGCAAATATTCGATTTATTTAAAGATACAAAGAAGATATAACTCTCAAAAAGATCCGCAAATCGGATTATTACACGGCGATTGGCAACATTGACTTTGAGCTGCGCTCTAGACTATGGTGCGTTCTTAAAGTTGACGGATAGTTGAACGATATTTTATACAATGTCTAACACCGGGTATGGATTTATTTTTGTCCAAGTTTTATATTGGTCCACTATTTCAAATGCAGTTCAAACAGACATATATTAAATTGCATGATTCGTTTTAAATTCGTTCAATCTGTATGTGTACATGCGATGCACTCGATGAAGCATTCTACTCTTGTGTTGGCCCCTACAGTACCATGTATATTTTACAGATACCCCTTGGGCGTATGTACACCCCGCTGAACAATTTTACGCATGTGTCGGATCCCACAGTACCAAAAAAAAACAGTCCCTGAGTTACAGGGTTTCAAATTGTCGGCTGAGTGTTCGAGTGTTTTAATTGCATGGATGTCATAATTCAATAAACGCTCGGTATTGGTCTCTACGAAATTCTCTTCAGATTTATGTCGCTCGTACCCAAAGTCCTTCGAAAAGTAAATGTTTAGAGAGGCATAATAGGGAATCATGTAATTTTTCCATTTTTATAGGTGGTATGTTAAATGGTCGGAAATACTTGGAACTTCTGTAAAATCAAATTGTCTCGGCCCTTCGTAATTTAACAATATCTTTCGATTCCATATGGTTTCAACACGATGGTTATTCTGCACATAATT